CAGTTACCAGCATCGGCTTCTCACACAGCTAGTCTGAGAAACGTCCCATGATCTGTCTCAATAGACCCAATTTGTGATATCTACGCCTTGGGTCGTCACAAACCGCCGCGCCCCGATGGCCTTCCTCCACCTCTATTGAAAGATGGTGGAGTAAAGCCTGTCAGAGAACTACAAGTTCTGTTCTCCAAAGTTTGGAACACTGAACAGATCATCTCCTCATCGGGGGAGGGGTGGGGGGAGGGAGCAAACGATTGTTATCCCTATCTTCAAAAAGCGACTGCGCCAGTTATATGGGTGTAAGTCCGATCCCGATAGCGTCAAAGCTGTTGGCGTCCATAATTCTGAGCAAGGACACATGAAAAGCAGATCCGCAAGGAGCAGGCTGGTTTTCGTGCCGCTCGTCGATGCGTCTATCAAATCTTCACCCTCCAACAGTTGCTAGAGCACCGTCATGCTTACCACAGACCAAAGATCATTGTGTTCTTAGACAGTTACGCCGCCTGCAACTCTGTCGATCGGACCACATTAAGAAACTGATTGTCAAGCATTGGAGTACCTGAGAAGTGTGTCGATCTTTAAAGAGTTCTATCGTCATACCTCATGTCGGATTCGGGCCTATGGTTTGCTTTGGCCACCCTTTGGGGTCTACAGTGGAGTTTGATAAGGTTGTCCTATATCCCCATTACTTTTCAACTCTGTCGTAGAGGATGTTCTACCGAATGCTTTGTCTGGCCTAGCAAACAGTGAATTCGAATCGTTCACAGGGAACAGAATCCTTGACGAAAATATGCCGATGACACTACCCTGCTAGGTGACCATACACAGGCGGCTCAACACTTTGAACCGCTAGGCGATAGAGGTATCCAGGTATGGTATGTGCTTTGCACCATCCAAGTGCAAAGTGCTTGCTCAAGAGTGGCTGGAGCCTGTGCCTGCACTCACCGTCGGCGGTGATCAGTTGCAAGTGGTTAAGGGTATAGTACCTCGCAAGGCTGATCGCAGCTGGTGTTGCTGCTGGAAGATTACATCACGAATAGCGGAAGCTAGAGCAGCTTTGTCGACCTGCGACACCCGTTGCTCCGTCATGATATCTGCTTGTCCCCTAAGAAAAAGGTTTACACCACCGCGGTTCGAAGTGTTCGATTTTAAGGTTGCTAGACCTTGCCCCGCCGCGTTGAGGATGATAATCCACTTTCTGTATTTGATCATCGATTTCTGCGAAGCATTACTCGTGTCCGGTGGGAACAACCGGTAAGGAATGACGAGATTCACCGTTGTGTTGGGAGTGGATAGTCGTTCTCTGAAAGAAGTAATCACTCCATACCGCTTCCGATGGTCCGGTCATGTTTTGCGCATGCCTGCCCATTGACTAATTTTCCGTACTCTCTTTGAACAATCTGGACAAGGCAGGAAAAAGCTCCGTGGCGGTCAGACCATGACATGGCGTAACTGCATTAGCTCCGGTTGGTGTAACGTTTCTTTTCGTGTTAGGGTCGAAGGGGTGAGGATTGTCTTTCTTTATATACAATGATAGTTATGACCCAGCGTACAAGTCAGTGGCGTGAATGCTGTCTGGCCTGCGCTTTGAAATCTAGTGCCCCATGAAAAACAAGAAACTAAAACACAAAAAGTTATCAAAGTGTACGGTGAAACAAACAAAAATGTTTTAATCTCAAAAATCAACTGAACCATCTGAACGCCTTTTACTCAACTATGTATTGCAATCCCCGTATTTTCTTCATTGTTACTTTGGTAAAAAGCTTGTTCTCAAGCCGATGACATATATACAACTTGAGGTTAACTCTGCCAAATATCTTAGAGTAACTATAGATAACTATAGATAGATAGATTTTTGTTGGTCATCTTAAATCCCATTTCGAATTCCAAACGTCAGGCAGTTTCGCACTTTCGAGTCATCTATGTCTACTTTTTATACCAGCGTATCTTCTCCTGTCTAACCTTGTTGTTCTCCCATTATTATCCTGGGAGTTTATAAACCAGATTTTCAAGTTTTACGCCGCGGCCTAAAGATTATTCAATTTCTGTGAACTAGTCGTGAAACTTTCAGATTACCCTACAAACATTTTCGTCAAATTTGAGGAAAGGATTGCAATTCCTACCCACCCATTGAATGCTGAACTGACGCAATCGTCCCCATTCCTTCGCACATTCTGAATTCCGAAAAATTCCACCTTGTACAGACGCTTACCGGATTTTGCCGAGCTATATCGGCATATATGCGGCACGATGCACTTCATCTGTCGCGTAAATTTGAAAATTACTTTCCCCGAAATCCAACGAAACCCGAATAGGTTCCTGAATGGTAAATCGTCAATGGCAAGCGAAATAAAATTTAATATTTTTAGCTTATAGGCAGTACATAACCTGGAATTGTTTGCACAGTGGAACTATTATTCTATACAAAATTAATTTACCGCTTCAGTAGCATGTACTTTTAGAATACACTTCAAGGAGCACAGAGGAGAATACGTTTGCTAGGGAAATAAAGCGATTCCTAATTTGAACTGTTTGCTTTACGGGTGAATCAATAGGATTGTCCAGTGGACCGTTTGTATATCATTTACAATTTTAAGATATTATAAATGTATTTGCATGGTGTGACTTGTGGTGTGCCATTTTGTCAGACAAGAGGTTGAATGAAACGAGATTTTCAAATATCGACTCATGGGGTAACTGAGGGGCAATGCGTGCGCATAATTGTATTGATAAGAAAGCGGAAAAGAAAACAAAAAAAAGAGGAAAGCCAGCGACATCATTTCGAAGAAAGAACCCGGAAATTTGGGTCGTGAGAGATTCATAAGTGTTATATATTGAAGCTTTTCTTTATAAGTGAACCATGAAACGACCGGAAGCTTATTTGGTGAGTGAGCTAGCGGAACAATGTAGGTTTGAAGCGGAAAGTTAAGGGATATCTGAATCGATGAAGCAATTGGTTTGACTTGGAGAATGAAGAGGGTTTGCTGAGTGGGACAAATTTAGTCAGGTATAGTTACAAGAAACTGACTTAAAAAAACTGAACAAAATACGAAAATGAAAACAAAAAAGAAAACGTCACAGAAAATAACCACGGACACTGAATGATCAATTTGGGCATTTCTATCATAGTGTCCAGCTTCAACGCGTCTTGGTAAACTTTATCAGGGCTTGGGTAGCAAAGTACTGAGAAAATGGTAGTTTTGAATTAGCGCCTGAATACAACATTGTAGAAAGTTAGTACCGAATGCAAAGCATAGAAAATAAATGATTGTATCCAAATTGATCGATTAGAAATTGAAGTGTAATCAAACGAAGCAGTGTCTATTGAATGACACGAACAGTGAGTTATATGCAAAACGTATACTTTTTTGCACAATGGAGATATTACATATATTTCCATTTTACTGGCCTATTTTCATTGGGAGAAAATTAGATAGGGGTGCAAAGCAAAACATTAGGAGCGAAACAAAGCGGCGCATTCTCGAGTCGGGCGGGGTGTTATTCGGTTTTGGTTACTTTCCGTTCTCCTTTCTATCCGTTCCAATCACGAGTA